TCCTCAGACCTTTCGATCCTATCATTACTCTTTTTTTAAATTCTTCATGGAAATGCTTGAACAGTGTGTTTTTATATTGTCATTATGGGGTTAACAATTTGCATGTTTTCTGTCTACTAGAACCAGAACATTTATGTAAATCTAATAAGAGATTTCCTGATGTTGTACCTTGGCGAAGATGTGGACAAACCTAAGAAAATGAATGTATGTATTTTTTTCCTTTTTAGGAACATTAAAAAATATTAAATAAAAAGCTTTTTTTTTTTTACAGTCATTAAAAAGTTAGATTAAGAGAATCTAACAAACACAACAGGTTGTCATGTAACAAAACGAGTGTTTGCGTTACTTACTGTATTTGGATTTGATCAAAGTGAAAACGTTGGGTTATTAAAAAAATAGTTGAAATTGTGACATTTTTAAGTTGGCTCAAAGTTGGATTTTTCCATCGATAAATCTTTAAATAATGCTAATACTATTGATCTGTATAAATCAGGGAAATCCACCCCACGCCTTACGTCATCGCTACAATTTCCCCGCTCGCGTAAACCCCGCCCATTGAGCTGTCCTCGCTGCCATGGCAACAACAAACAGTTAGCGTGAAATGTGGGGCAGAAGACAGAAGATCCTGAAAACGGTAAAACCATTGCCATCAACTGGAAAAGTATAACGGGTTATCCAAAGGCCTCACATGTTACGTTTTTTATTCTTTGTCCTGTGCTGTATTTATTTATATTCTTTGGAAAAGTTCACTGTATGACGGCGTCCCGGCAAACCGAAGGAAGCAGAAGCTGTGATGTCTGATCCAGTTAAAGACAAAGAGAAAAAAGGAGGCAAACTAGCTGCTGACGGAACCAGAGGTAAAGAATTAAATGGGGGGGAGGAAGTAGTGAGTTTACTATATGTTGGATCTGCCATCATTCATTTATTATCGTGGCTAATTTGTGAATCATTTCCTATCTCATTACTATTCGTCCCATTGAGTGTTTGACTATTGGAAGCCAGAAATTTGAGGATTCATATTTATTTGGAGATCAGATCAGCATATTTGTTGTAATGCCTCTGTGTGACCGTTTTTTTCACTTGCTGTGTCACATACAGATGAGGAAGACACCGGTCAGAGGACCATAACTTTGGAGAATACCTACCAGCTAGGTGGGACAACACTTCCCTTTTCCCAAATACTTCCATCATAAAAAGTCCAGACTGATAGATAATTATTCTCTGGGCCTTGTGGCTTTGAATGTTTTCATGCATTTAGTTTTCTGATCTTAGATGGTTTAGTTCCTTCCCCTTTTCAATCAGTTCATCATAAAAATGTACAATGAGAGGTCAGTTTCATTGATGGTGCTTTTTTTTTCAAACTCTTTTTGGATCCCAGGGCCTTTAAAACGCTTCCCCGTCGCCGCTGTCACACACATACTGACCGATGTACTGACCAGTCACCTCCAAGAGGAGAAGTATGAACTCCAGCGCTCTCGGGAGCAGACACTGACTCTTTGTAAGGTAAATGACAACAAATGCAACCCTCATTAAGTCCATTTAAATATTTGCTTTGTTGATGGTAACCTCTCGCTTCTCCAAGATCATAAAAAGCCGTGTGAAGGAGCTTCTGATCCCCAGATATAAAATCGTGGTGTTGGTCCACATTGGCCAGCTCACTGGGCAGAGCATCCAAATCAGCAGTCGCTGTCTGTGGGACGCCTCCAACGACAACTTTGCCTCGTACTCTTTCAAGAACAGCTCTCTATTCTGCGTTGCAACCGTGTACGTTGTCTACTTTGAATGACACACACGGGCCTGTGCATTTGCCACAAACGGTGATGAGTTTTCTGCCTTAAATTACTTGTATTTTACACGTGTGTTACTATGCTATATACTACTAAGCTATGTCAATACAAATTAAACAAAAGCTTTAATCAGTTTGCCACTCCCGGGTCTGCCTATTGTCTCCCTTTGTTGGAAACAGCTTCACAATTCTTAGAATCACAAATTAATCTAAACCTGGAAGTATTTTTGCTCTGGTTGTAATCTGCTGACTATTGTCAGAAAATAAAAGAAAATTAAAATGTGTACGGTGTCATTTGGACATGTTTGCATCAGAATATCTAAAAATAAAAAGGTTGATGATAGGACACTGAATTAAAAAATAAACAAAGAAAGATAGATAGATAGATAGATAGATAGATAGATAGATAGATAGATAGA